TTCCTCTTCAATTTCTTTATCTTAAGCTGGTGTAAAATGGGCACAATAGAGAATATGTTTTTTTTTTTAGTGCAAACCACCTGTTATCGGGTAAACTCTAACTAGGTCTTTGTTGTATTTATGTACATGCCCTTTTGTTTAAAATGAATAATTATATATATATATTTAAAATGCACCATTTTAGCTACCACATCAGCACTGTAAAGCAAAAAAAAAAAAGTCAGGCAGCCAGGAGTAGCTGATCAGCTTTTCCACAGCTGAAATATACTTCTGGTACATCTAACACTAGAAACAAGAACTATGTTCCTAATCCTCCACGTGATTTATTAAATCAAATCTACTTAATATTTATTTTCTCATTTGTGCAAGACATGAGAAGAAGATACTTACTCTGTCTTATTAAGTCTACAGCAAAACTGTTAGTTTTGATTTTTTTCCCAGTTGAACCTTAAGAAAGGGATATGAATCTATTCACTCAAGAAGGGAGAGCAACAGAGAGGTTTAGTTTCATCAGAAGTTGAAAATGTCTTCTGTTTAATCATAGTAATTTGATCCTACCCATATAAAATGTTTGGTATAATAAAAATGAAGGAAAATAAATAAATAAATATGAGTAATTGTTTTGAGACAACTCTTCTGCCTGTATTTCAATTACAGGAAAAACAGAATGTTTTCCTTGTTGCATGTACATGCAACTAATAATTCCTGATGTTTTTCTCCTCCCACTTCCTTCTCTGCCTTAACACTAAATTAGTCACAATATAACAATAACAATAATTATGTTGTTCTAGGATTCCACTCCATTCTCATCAACACAGAAGTAAAACATATTGCATTCCCCACCCTACTTACATACTATTCTCAGCAGCAGAGCTCAGATACATTTCAATAAAATCTTACATTGTTATTATTCTTATTCAAAAACTTTTTTAACCCCATATGTTTTTATATATACATTTCAGCAATGATTCAGAATGTAGAGAAGTCTTTGTTCAATGTGTTAGTATTGATCATTATGTCTTATGTTTTCCCCAATTTTGTATATTTGTAAATAAACTAGTTTATTTATGCATTGTTGCAGTATTTCAGGGTAGATCTTTGATTCATTATGCAGATTGAAAAAAAAAGCAAGCTCATGAGCTCAGATGATACTGTATTTTGTTTTCCTATGAGCCAACAAATGAAGTCATAAAGTTTTAATAAAATTTTATAAAATTTACCATCAACCCTCAAGTAATACAATTGTGCATTGCATTGGACAGTGCTACTGTAGTGAGTGCTGTAACATCCTTTTTAGCACCCCAAGTAAGTGCTCCTCTGATGATAGTGAGACTGAATTGAAGACTCTGAGGTTTTTTATTGGATAGATCTTTCCCCAGTTGCTTTTAAAAAGAAAACCATCATGCCTTTGCTTATGGTGGCTGTTATCTGTCCTGGCTCCAGGGAAGGCCGCATGCTCCATCCTCTACATTTACGCAGGTGTTTCACTACATCTGTGAATAGTACTTGATTTGTGCATGACTAGAACGCAGAATGACTGCTCTAAGGACTGAATTTAATGTAGATCTAACTCTTTCTGTAAGAGTTCTTATTTGCTAACCGGGAGAAAGAGCAGCTGCTACTGCTGGAATGATTCATTAATCCATTCCCAGCTGTCCTCTTTCCCTGGAGACAGATATGCCAAATAAATGGTATTGGCTGGGGCAGCAGCCTGCTTCCGGGTGCTAGAGACAAGATTTTCCCAAGTCCAATAAGCATTGTTTTTGGCATAATGGGGAAAGGCAACATGCCCAGCAGCAAAAAATCAGCAACCTTTCTCTCCTGTCAATTTTTCTCCAATTGCTCCTCTCTCTGTTTACAGTTCTTCTCAGCCCTTTGTCCTGTCTCCAATGAAACAGTACTTTGCCCACCATTTCCCTTTGGGAGAGATTCAGTGAACAAAATGAGATGCAAGCCATGCATATGGAAAAACGTATTTAAAACCATGAATGGAAACAGAATCAGGGATATTGCTAAATGTAGCAATAGGACTGTCCTATAATTTAGATGCCACCTGGCTAGTTTCTGACCAGCCTGGCTGATCTAACATGTGTCCCAGATCTGTCAGAGCTATTAGCCATGCACACATTGAATTTGTATGTGTTGTAGCCCTGTGCCAGGGTAGCTGCTTATGTTTTCTTTTTTGTTTGTTGTTTTTTTTTTCCTTTTTTTCTTCCCTCAAAGAATAGCCAGCCTGCTACTGTTGCACAGCCCTTTATCCGACTTGCAACAATGCAATCCAGGGCACTCGCTGGGATACCGGGATTCAGGAAAGCCCTGCCAGAGACTGATGACAGATGGATATCGGATCAGTAAAATACTGAGACTCCTAACTGCAGGGACACAAATCTAGATCCTCAGTAATAACACAACCTGCCTTCTTCAGATTCTGCTTCAGAAAGCGGAGAGCAAAACTTCTGCTGCGTTCCGTAGTGGGCAGGGACACAGGATCTAAACTGAGATTATGTGAAGGCTTGGTATTCTCAGATTTGTCAAGATTACCTCCTGATTTCCTGCGTCATGCAAGATCTTCCCTCAAGTAAACCCGTCTGCCCACGTCTGTTACTTTCAAGCGGACAAAACTGAAGCCTCAATACAATTAAAATGAAAGGTATTTCTGTTGCCTTGCAGTTAAGGAGGCAGCGTCCAACAGCCCCATCCCGCCGCGTCCTCCAGAGAGCCGGAACCAGAGCCAGGGTACGGTGCCCGCTCACGAGATGGGGTGGGACATTCACAGCACGGGACTCAGGACTGTGTGGCACGGGGAGAAAACTCAAAGACTCTGCTGCAGTTTTAAGGCCGAACGTGGAAGTCGATTCCGATGTCTCTGGTGATGCTGCTCCGCACAGATACGGGAGCCCTCTCCTTAACACGCGAGGGTTTCCAGACTGGCCCCGGTCCTGCCCCTGGGCCCCGGCCCTGCCCCTGGGCCCGCTCCCGGTCCGTGCCCCGGCTCCGCCTCCGTGCCCGCCCCTGTGCTCCGGCCCCGCCCCGTGCCCCGTTCCCACCCCCGCCCCTATACCCGTCCCTATGCCCGCCCCCGGCCCCGCCCCATGTCCCGTTTCCCATCCCCGAGCCCCGTTCCCGCCCCGTGTCCCGTTCCCGTCCCCGTGTCCCGTTCCCGTGTCCCGTTTCCCATCCC